GGCGTTTGCGTGTGAGTTTTTTATATATTTTGGATGTTAACCCCTTGTCGGATATGTCGTTTACAAATATATTCTCCCATACTGTAGGATGTCTTTTTGTTCTGTTGATGGTGTCTTTTGATGTACCTTATATTTTAACATTGACTTTAGACCCATCTTATTATTATTCTATAGGAAAAAATAGTCTTTGCTTCTCTCATCTATTTCTTCAGAAGACCTTTAGAATAATCAGGTCAAATCCTTTAAAAAAATAATCTCATCGGGAATTTTATTGAATTTGCATTAAAACCACAAAGGAATTTGGATAGAATTAATGTCAGGGCCACATTCAGACTAGGTACCCAAGAAAACAATTAGTCTTCCGTGTATTCAAGTAGTTTAAAAAACATATCTGGGTCTTGGGGCTACAGAACTGGATCACTTATAGTCTCTGTCCTTGGCGGGCACCATCATTATATGTGCCAGTTATTACGCTATTATCTCTTGGCTTCAAATTCACTCCCCTGTGTGGGGCTTTGTGAATCTGGGACTGTGCAAGCCGCACTGTTTGGCTTTGCCAAACGGCTGTTAGGTTCTGCCAATAGAGGGCAGCAAAGAGACTGTCCAACCCTGGAGGAAGCAAAGGGGACCTTGCTCCTTGCTGTTGGCTCTCTCCCTATTTCCTGTCAGTTTCTTGTTCCCATCAGCTTCATCCAGAACAGCTTCACCCCAGCTGAGGCAATTCCTTCCTGTAGCAGCTGCTAAATCCAGTTTGCAGGTTTTCCAAATCTTGTACCACTGCCCCCAGAGGTGCCAGCACCGTGTCACCAGCGCGTTTCCCAGGAAGGTCCCTGGTGGTCCTCTAAGTTAAGATGCACCTGCGTTAGCTGAGCACTGCCCCCTCCTCATTGCGTTTCATCCCCAGTGGGCCTCTTATCCAAATGTTTAATTTCAGTAATTCTAACCTCAATCCTTTGTTTTTCCTGCCCCAGGGCGGTGGATGGTAGCTGCTTCCTGTAGTTATGATATTGTAGGGTTCTCTTTTGCCTTTTTAGTTACCTAGTTACCAATTCTTTAAACCTAAGTAACATTTCTTTATATGAAATCAACCCTGTGATTTCTGTCTCCTGAATATACCTCGACTGATACTGATATTTGTAATGGGAAGCAGGTTCTCAAAGACGGGGCTTGGGAGATGGTTTAGTTGATTTTTAGGGTTTGAACCTAGTGATGAGTTCCTTGCTGATGAAAAAACGGATGCTCATAATCCATAGTATGCAGTGGCATCATGATTAATCATATATCATTACCCATGTTGGCTTTGCTGAAGTTCCAAAAGTAGGGAGTGGCTTGAGGGATCGTATGACTGCTGCAGTTGATCATTATGGCACTGACACTGGCCACAAGGAGAGTGGTGTTCATTAGAATCTCAGGTCTGTAAGTTCAGCTCTAGTCACACTCAGAGAACCAGAGAGCTTCTAGCAAAGCCCCTAATGCTGTATTTCTTGCAAATGCAGGGCCCACATTGATATGAAAGTCCATGAACAGTAACCGTGAGGGCTGCAGAATTACCTGCTAAATTAAATTTAAAGCCTCAAAAAGTATCTGATATGTAGATTTGGGGAGGACTGGGACCCCGAGTCTCACACTGGGGACATTTAGGTGGAAGCAAAGTATGAGAATCTTGCACTTTCTCTATCTCACTTTGCCACACTGGCTACCAACTCATTCCTCCACTGCCCTTTGCAGCAAGACTCATGAAAAGAGTGGTCTGTACCCATCATCTCTAAATCTTTGCCTCCCATTCTCGTGAATACAGGTTTCCCCCACTATCTGAACGTTCAGTTTGTATCACTTTGCTTCTAGGAAAGACCCACACCAATACCTATTTGCACTAACAGAAAGAAACTGGAAGAGAATCTTTGCTTTTGCCAAATTGTAATTGCTTCTTTTGGCTTATAAAGGGGTTCACAGGAACGCTCTGCTTTTGGGTAGAGGGGGAGGCCTCTTCCAGGCTTTTCCCACCACTACTCCATTGAAATTACTCTGGTTGCTCAGTCCTACAACGAGTTTCTCTTGTCTTCTGCGCACGCATTGACTGCCCCGTCATCACTGGCAGCTTCCTCACTGGCTCCTGGGACATGACCTTGGGTTTCCTTTCTACCTCCCGGGGGCGTTACCCCTTTACAGCCTCTCCTGTGAGTCCACTTCCCCCACTTGTCTACTTCTGAACATGGGAGTGCTCCGGGTCTGAATTTTTTGTTATCTGTCTTTCTGCTTTGAAAAATACACACTCATTCTTTCAATGGTCTCATTCAATGTCATGGTTTTAGCTACTGCCTCTGTCAGTCGTTACCATGTCTACCTACCCAGACCCGACATCTTCCCTTAACTCAAGACTCAACCGCCTACTCGGTATCCTTTTTTGGATTTCTAATAAGCGTCTCAAACCTAACATTCCTTTGCTAGTTCTGAGCTTGTTTGACATCTGATCCATTTCTTTACCTTTTCCATGACCTGCCCTGTATCAAGGGGGTGACCCTAATGGCTCTGTTCCCCAGCCCTCCATGTCACCCAGCTTCTGCTGGCTTCAACCTATGGGAGGCACTGGCAGGAGAGAGAATGTGGTGGGGAGATGACAGGGTACTTATTCCACTCCCTCACTGTTTCAGGGTGCTTCTCTCCAAGTGGCTGCAGTTCTTCCTAGACCCAGTTGCCATGGTTTTTGCTTCCATTAGGTGACCTTAGTCCCCGAATTCATGACTTCATCACCACCTCCTCCGTACGTCCTGCCACCCTAGGGTGGTTGTGACTTGCTGCTGATGTTGGTCTCTGGTTTCCATTACCATCCTCTATGGCTCCTCAGGTTTTCCGTCACCAGTGCAACCAATCCCCTACATCAAATTCTCTTTCAAACGTTCATTGTTGCTATTTGTTGGCTGGGTCTTGGTTGCTGCCGTTGTCCTTGGGGCCAAGAGTGGCCTCAGGAAACAGGTCCCCAAGCTGGGATTCTGGGATTAGGTTGCTCACCTGTTTGAGCTTTGATGAAATGATGGTATTTTTGCAGGTAGAAAATGGAATTGCAATTATCCCTAGAACACACCATCTCTGGGAGGAATGTAGAAGGGGCTTGGGGTAGACCGATGTGTTGCAATGCTGGTTTTCACTCCTTAACTATGTATCTTTATGTAAATAATTTATGCTCTTGGACCTATTTCATCCTCTCTATCTTAATCAGTAGGAGCTTTGATAACAAAATACCATAAGCCAGGGAGCTTGAACAACACACATTTATTTTTCATGGTTCTGGAAGCTGGGAAGTCCAAGGTCAAAGTGCTGGCAGATTTGGTGTCTGGTGAGTCTGCTTCCTGGCTTTTGGTTCATTGCCTTCTTGCTGTATCCTCACACGTGGGGAGAGAGAAATTGAGACTGTGTCTCAAAAGGGCACAGACCCCATTGTGGTAGCTCCACCCTCAAGACCTCATCTAGGCCTAATTACCATCCCATGCCCTGTCTCCAAATGCCATCACACTGGGGATTAGGGATTCCACATATGGATTTTTGGGGGACTCAAATATACACGGCACCCAGTAAAATGAGAATGAGGATGCAACCACTAAGGGTTTTTAGACCTAGTCCCCATCATGTTGTGGATAGAAATGAACCCATGTTAACCTTCAGTCTGCTAGCTTTGAATCTATAAATCAACTGGGGAGCAGTAACATCTTTATAATAATATCTTATAAACATAAATATGGTATAACTCTCCATTTATTAAGGTTTTTAACATCTCAATGTTTTAAAGTTTTCTGTAGAGATCATGACATCTCTTTAGATTCCTAGAGTTATGCTACTTAGAATTGGTACCTTCAAAATTTTTTCATTTTCTGTTTATGCCTGGCATACCAAAAGTGACTTTTTTATGTGCACCTTTTATTTAGCTTTCTTGCTAACCTCACTGATTTTTAATAATTTACAGATTCTATTGAGTTCTCTGTGGTTCTCTCTGTGGACAATTATGTCATCCAGGAATCATGATAGTTCTCCTCCTTCCCTATCCTTACACTCTTTATTTTCTTCCCTTATTGCAACCATGTTAAAAAATAGGGGTTACCTTTGGGATAGGAGGAAAGGGTAGTGATTGGGAGGGAGCATGAGAGGAATTTCAGGGGGTGTTGGGAAGGTGCAGTTTCTAAATTTTGGTTGTAGTTACATGAACATATCCATTTCATGATAATTCATTGAGGAGTTCGCTTTTATCTTGTGAACTTTTCTATTTCTATTCAGATTAAAAGCTTAAAATGAACATTACTGTGATGGTTTAATAGATGTGCATAAATTGACATTCTCTTCAAAAGATGTCTGCAAATTCTTTGACATGCCCTTTGAGTATGAATTGGACTTAATGACTCAACTTAATCATATAAAAAGGGGAAATGAGAGTGTGCAACTTCAGAGGCTAGGTCATCAGAAGCACTCCAGCTTCCTGCTTCTTTTCTCGTAGACTGCTTGCTCTGGGGGAAGCTAGCTCCCCTGAGAAGCTGAGACCGCCAACCGAGAGCCATGTGAGGGCGCCATTTGGAAGCACTACCTCCGGCCCCAGTCAAACCTTCAGATGACTGAAGCCCCAGCTGACATCCTGACAGCAGCCTCGTGAGGACCTTGAGCCAGAACCATCCGGCTAAGCCATTCCAGATTCCTGAGCATATAAAAATGAGTGATGTAATATACACTTATTGTTTTAAGCAGCTAAGTTTGTCTGTGTATGTAATTTTTTAAACAGCAGTGGATACTTATCTGGTAAAAATCCCCCTAAAAATCATTGGCTTGACCAGCTCAAACTGTACCACAGAACCTCACCTCCACCCACTACCTCCTTCTCTAAGAACTGTACCATCATCAGCAGTTTTCTGGACACCAAGATACCCCACTGGCTGAGGACTGAGTCACAGTGAGCAGAGGCTGGTACATGTGTGTGTGCAATTTACTTGCCTTCTTTTGGTGCCAAAAAGGAGACAGAATTCATGCCAGCACGAGGGGCTGTTTATTGCTTGGGGGTTGGGCCCCCATGTTTTGGGGGAGTTCCCCCACCACTACCTTCCCCCATTGTTCCTGTGGACCCCTCAAGTGGCAGGTTGCTGAGTTGATCATGGAGGGAGCACATCTTCAAGTATAAATAGTCCAGAGTGGCCACCTTCTCCCTGTAATGACAGAGTGGGAAGCTGGTGCTCATGAGGCCAGATGCCATGGGGCTGGAGTGGAAGGAGGGAGTGACGCAGGCCCTTTCCCGAAGACCTCACCCTCCTCCCATGCCCTCAGCCTCCTTCCTCACTCCGGCTTCATCTTGTCCGTCAGCAGCAGGTTCTTGGCCCGCGAGGCTTCGTCTTGGGCCAGCCGAAGGGTGGAGCTCAGAGCCTCTGCCCTGACGTGTTTGGCCAAGGCCTGGCGCTCCAGCTCCTGGGGAGAGGAGTGTAGGCACGGCTGGGCTTGCTGGACTGGGCTGGGGGTGGAGGGGGAGCTGGATTGTGGAGGGCAAGAGTCAGGGTCCCATGGGGCCCACATTCCTCCCCCAGGGTATGCCATCATGCCTTGAGCCCGAGTTGACCCCAGCAGCCCACGACACTCTAGCCTTCCAGATTCCACTGTCGGTCAAACCTGTGTCTGTCTCACCATCTGTTCCCTAATTCATTGGCCTTCTATGTCCCAGAAAGCACTAAGTCAGCATCTAACACAGTGTCCCCTAATGCCCGGGAACTATCACCATCAGGCATTTGATATGTGTCTATCATGTGATCTCCTATATCCCATAATCCACGAGGCTGCACATCTCCTTACCTATTAGACCAACCTCTCTGTCACAATGACAGTCCTTAGTGCTCTAGTTCCCTAGATCCCGCTCTGCACCAAGCCCCATGTCTTAGCATGTATTAGTCCTGTAGCTCTGCCACATCAGAGGCCCATACTGTCTTCATCCACTACAACTTATATCCTATATTAGGCCAATATCCCATAATACATTAGATCTCTGTTTCAGAATGTACACAGGGCTCAAGTTCCATCAGCTACTAGGCTTGAGTCTAGTGCAGTGCCCCAGGATGAGGTGTGCTTCCATTTCCCACAATGCATTAGCTTCCTATGACTTTTATTCACTAGTCCCATCTGACCTCAAAGATCCCATAGAACGCATTGCCTCTCTTAAGGTCTATTAAAAAGTATCAGGCTTATCTTCCATGAAGCTGTAGACTAGTGTCTGTCACCTGTGTCCCAGTGTGCCAGATCCGATGTCCCATTGTGCTTTGGGCCCAAGCCATCACCCAAGGTTCCATACTCCCACTCTGATGTATTAGGGCCAAGTATTCCCCCAACACCTGTGGCCCTCAGCTCGGCCCTTCCCATCCTGCCATACACCAGCAGTATCCTTATGCCTGAGGCTTCCCTCCTCCCCTCCCCCTGCCCTGACAGAAAAGAAGAGCATGGTGGCTCATGGTCCCTGGTACCAGTATCTTCTTGTGTAGCCTCTGGCAGCTGGGGCAGGTGGGAGCCAGGCCCCTCTGCTTCACCTCATCCACTAGTGGGGTCAGTGCGCGCTCCAGTAGCTGCTGCAAGGACTCCGTGGACAACTGTGGCCCCTGGCTGGCGGGAGGGACAGTCACCAGATGAAAGAGGCCAACTACCAGTTCCATTCCTAGATGCCCTATGCCCCCCACCCAGCCTCCACCCAGGTCCCTTCCTCTGCATCCATGCAACCTTCCCACCATGCACTGGGACCAGCCTATAGTGCATACGTATCCTTTATTTTCCACAGTGCCTGGGGATTCCCACTCCCAAGGGTACCAGACCATCAGTTCATCAGAAATCATTATTTCCCACAACACAGTAGTTAAACCAGAACCCAAATTCCATTGGAAGTCGCCCCACTTCCTAATATGAACCAAGCATGGTATCCCTTAGTTCCCCCATACACCACGGTCTCACTTTCCCCACAGACACGGAGAAACCCGGCCTCCCACCGGATACCACATCCCACCCTTCCCACAATGCACTGGAAATCCAAGATGCAGGAAATGGGTGAAGTCTGTATTCCACAAGACACCAACTTCTTCTTGTGGAGAGGGAAGAAATGTGGCTCCCGAGAGGCAGCAGGACTGGCCAGTCCCACAAAATATGTCTCCCACAGTGAGCCCCCTCCCCAACCCCGGCCAGGGGCTCATCTCTAATGCTCGGTCCTCAACGTGACCCAGAATGCACCTGGAGCCAGGCCCCGCCCCTTACCTGGCACAGCGGGAACAGGAGCCTTGGAGGGGCCGATCCGTGTTCACGGAGAGGTCCGACCCTCTTCGTGAGCTCTGCAGTTGCCGTCCCACCTCCTCCAGAATTGGTTTCACTGGGCCCAACCCCTCCAGTTCGCTTCTCAGTGAAGCCACAGACACTGATGACCGCTCCACCCTGAGGCGTGAGAGTGACCAGTGCTACGAGGTCGTCCCTCCATCAGCAAATTGCTGCAAGTCTTCACCCATTATTAGCCCAACACCTCGTTATCCTTCTAGTCTGCAATACCCAGCGCTGTCCCGTCCCCTCGCTCTGATTTTCGCGCTTTAAGGGCTGAAATGCCTCTCCCTGCTTTCTAATTGGCTTTCCCTGTTCCTAGGCTCCACCCTTCGTCCTATCAAGGTATGGAATTCCACCTCGTCTCCAGTTGGCTCCACCCCTCAGTCCTTATAGGAATAGCACGCCCCTCCCTGCTCTCTAATTGGAGCTTCCTCCTGTCAGTATACGGTCTCCACCAGCAAGGTCCCGCCCACCCGCAGCCGCAAGTCGGGCTCTCGCCTTGGCCCTTACATTGTGCAGAGCTCGTCCGCTCGACCGGTTAATTCCTGCAGGCTCCGCGCCGTCTGTGCCTGCTCGCGCTGCGCCCGCTCCCACTGGCCCAGGAAGCTGTCGAGCCTGCCGCCCAGGCCGCCGAGCAGCCGCAGGGCCTCCTGCACGGCCCCCTCCTCCTGATGCCATCGGGCGGTCAGCGAGGACACCTCCCTCCTGCAGTGGCAGCGGTAAGGATCGGGTCAGGGCTAGGTTTGGGCACGTCCCCATGGGCCCCTCCCGGCCCATGGCTCCAGAGCCACCTAGTCCCCGAATTCTCCCGGCCTGTCCATTTTCTTAGAATCCTCCCTTGTCCTCCAGACCCCCACTTCTGACCTCTTAGTGTGTGTACCTCCCGTCATCCAGCCCTCCAGCCCCACATCTGCTCCTCCAGACACAGCCTCCTCCAGGCACCATCGCCCCAGAACCTTCCCTCCTACGCTCTCTTTGAGGTTCCACTCCATAGGCCCTGTCCTCTAAGATCTGCCAGGCTGCATCCCCTGTGGCCTCCCAACTCCTCGAGGCTCCACCCCTTGGGCCCACGCACCTCAGCTCCTCGAGGCCTGCAGAGACCTTCTGCAGCTCCTGCTCAGTCACGGTGGAGCCCTCCCCTGACCGAGGCCCCATTCCCCAGCCACCTGGGGCCAGGCTGCGCAGCCGCGGGGGATCGTCGGGGCTCCCTGGTGGGCCGGAGCAGCCTGGGGGCTGGGCAGCACGGCCCGGGCCATGCCAAGAGAGGCCAGCCTCCAGCCTCTCCAGCTCCTGCAGCTCAGCCTCCTGCCTCCGTGGCGTCTCATCCTGCAGCCGCTGCTGGAGGTGGCGCAGCTTCTCCTGGGCAGTGAAGGAGGGTAGGCCACTGCGTCCAGCCCCTTGCCTCCCACAATCACCTCCACTCCCAAATCCACCCATTGAATCCCTGAGATTGGAAAGTAAGTGGATGTGGGGACAGGATATTGGGAAATCCCGTTTGAAGTGTAAACAAACTGCTGCTCGCTGTTACTGGACAGGGATGCCCCATTTGAAGCCTAGCTGGAGTCCAGCTCATTTTAACCTCCCGATGCCTGCTTCCATGTCTCCATCCAGCCCTTCACCCCCATTCCAATCCTCCAAGGGGTCAAATTCCGGTTCCTCCTGTTTAGGAAGAACAACTGAAGCCTTTCCAACATTTTGTTGGGAAATGAGTGAGCCTGTGGGTAGGATAGGCATTCCCACTTGAAATCCAACACAAATGCCTCTCTCGGGGAGAATTATGTCCGTGAACACAAAGGGACAGGGAGGTGGTGGTGATGGCAGGGTGGGAAGGCCCACCTGAAGTCTACCTCAATTACTTTGTGTATCTGATCCTCTTCCCCGAATCCTGGGACTCCCCCTTACCTCCAGCAGGGCAGAGTTCTGCTTCAGGACATTGGTTTTTATTTCAGCATCTTCCACGGACCAGGTCACCTTCCGGCAGTTCTCCTGGGTCAAGGCACCAGGGCAAGGAGTCCTGCCTTCCCATTCCAGCCCCACCTCCTGACCCTTACCCTTGCTATTTCCATACAGGCCCGCCCCCTCCCCTAATACAAGATACGCCTGCTGCTTCCACAAAGTCTGCTAACTGCTCTGCCCCTTACCAGCCTGGTTGCCTTGGCTAAAGGGATGGCTTCCTCCTCAGACCACTCCAGTGGTACTTATCCACCACCTCCACCCATGCCGTTCCTCCCCAGTTTCCTCCCACCCTCTTCCCCCTTCCAGTCCCTTCTCTGCACCCCACTCCTGTCCCACTGTCGGTCACCTTGAGTTGACTACAGTAGCTTTCCAGTTCTTCTGCCTCTTGCCTCCTTCTCTCCAGATTCTCGCTCAGCACAGAATACTCACTCTGAAGCGTGGAAGGGAGGAAGGGTTAGCCAGGGCCACAGGGGTTCACCCTGTGGGAAGGAGAGGATGGGCCTGGGAAGGTCCCTTTCCCAGCAGAGCTTCAGCCTCCCCCACTGGGCTGTGGATGCCTTGAGTTGGAGGAGAGGTGTAAGAAGGGAATTTGGCTCTGGAGGAAGAGGTGGTGTTGTGGGGTGGTCCTCACACCTGTAGCGTCTGCACGTGCTGGTTAACCCGAGTGGCCTTTTCCTTCAAGCTGGTCACGGAGTCTTTGGCGCGGACCAATCCACTGTTGACCCCACTCTGGGGGAGAATGGGAGATGGGTGGGTCAGTGGGTGTGTGGAAGCAAACCCCAACTTGCAGAAATGGTCTAGAACTGGGAGGAGGCTGGGTTTACTCCTTGATTCTGCCCTGGAATGGCGGCGTGGCTTAGGCCAGTGCTGCATTACTTTGATTCTTGGTATTCCCGCTCCATCATACCAGGGAGTGGGCTCGTGTGCTGCTTGGTGGATGGGAAGAAAAGTAGGATCCGGAAGGGAGTGAGGGATGAGGGGAGTACTCAGACATGTAGGGGAAGAAGGATGGTCTCAACCAAACCCAGAGATAAATGCCTCTGGCGTCCACAGATGTAAGTAGGATAAACCTGTTAAAACACATGCTCGCGCTTTCTCTCCAGACACCGGAGAATTCTAAAGATAACCCACTTTCCAGATATAAGCACTCACTATGCGCAGGCCAAGCCTGTACGCACATTTCCTCTTTTATTCCTGAAAACCACACCTCTTGAAGTTATTTGGTCCATTTTGCAAGCAAGGCAAATGAGGCTCAGAGAGGGGACATCTCTTGTACTCCTAAGTATACAGCACACACAGTGGCCCTGCAGAATTTAAACCCAGAACCTTTGTTTTAAACCATGACACCATATAGTCTCTGATCATTGTATGTTATAGCACCATAAAATGCTTTGTGACTCGCGGCAAACAAATTGTGACTCAAGAAGAATGAATGTAGCAGGATCTATTCCGCTCTTTCCCATAGAACAGTTAGCCGGGCACATGACTGCTGAGACAATGACTACATTTCACAGACCCCCTTGCAGTTATGGGTGGTCATATGATTAAGCTCTGGCCAATGGGATGTGAGTGGAATCATGTAGGCAGTTTCCAAGTCGTACCTTTAGTAAAGGAAAGCAGGGAAAACTTCCCCCTTTCTCTCTCCCCACTAACTAGAATGCAAAGTTGACAGCTGAAGTCAGAGCAGCTGCCTTGGACCATCTGATAGAGGACACAAGATAGAAATCTGAATCCTGAACACTGTGGAACCACCATACTCAATTATAACCCTTGTGAAGACTTACATGCTAGGGATAGCATTTCCCGTCTTGTTTAAGCTATGCTATTTTGTGTCTGTTAACAACAGCCAAATCTGTGACTTAATAGCTGAGCCAACCAGTAACATGCTGTATTGGAAGAATAGACCTCCTATACCTGTTGAGGCTTTTATGTAAGAAATAAACTATCCTGCTTAAACCAGTTGTTTTGGTTTCCTTCATAGTTGCTAAACTAATACACAAAGAGAAAAGAAAGAACAACTTTCTTTTCCTCCTCCAGTGTAAGATGGAGACAAAATCACATCCTTTGTTTTAAACCATGACACCATATAGTCTCTGATCATTGTATGTTATAGCACCATAAAATGCTTTGTGACTCGCGGCAAACAAATTGTGACTCAAGAAGAATGAATGTAGCAGGATCTATTCCGCTCTTTCCCATAGAACAGTTAGCCGGGCACATGACTGCTGAGACAATGACTACATTTCACAGACCCCCTTGCAGTTATGGGTGGTCATATGATTAAGCTCTGGCCAATGGGATGTGAGTGGAATCATGTAGGCAGTTTCCAAGTCGTACCTTTAGTAAAGGAAAGCAGGGAAAACTTCCCCCTTTCTCTCTCCCCACTAACTAGAATGCAAAGTTGACAGCTGAAGTCAGAGCAGCTGCCTTGGACCATCTGATAGAGGACACAAGATAGAAATCTGAATCCTGAACACTGTGGAACCACCATACTCAATTATAACCCTTGTGAAGACTTACATGCTAGGGATAGCATTTCCCGTCTTGTTTAAGCTATGCTATTTTGTGTCTGTTAACAACAGCCAAATCTGTGACTTAATAGCTGAGCCAACCAGTAACATGCTGTATTGGAAGAATAGACCTCCTATACCTGTTGAGGCTTTTATGTAAGAAATAAACTATCCTGCTTAAACCAGTTGTTTTGGTTTCCTTCATAGTTGCTAAACTAATACACAAAGAGAAAAGAAAGAACAACTTTCTTTTCCTCCTCCAGTGTAAGATGGAGACAAAATCACATTTCTTGCATGATTGCTCTGGAGAACAATGTGATAAGAAATAGTGTATTAAGATGACATAAATAAAATAATAGAGTCAGGAACCCCTAAATTCCACCCCTTCACAAAAACTGAAAAAACTGGCAAAAACTATAAAAGTCAAGTCTTTGAGAAGATACAATTATAAATATAAATGCATCTAACAGAGCTCATGAAACAAATCTGACAGAATTGAAGAAATTGACAATTCAACAGTAATGATTGGAGACTTCAATACCTCACTTACAATAATGTATAGAACAATTAGAAGATCATTGAGGAGACAGAAGACTTCAACAACTTTATAAACCAATCAGACCTAACAGACATCTATGGAACATGCCACGCACACAACACATTCTCAAGTGCACATGAAACATTCTACCTGTGGTTGAGGATAGACCATATATTAAGTCACAAAACAAGTATCAATAATTTAAAAGAATTATGATCCCTCAAAGTGTGTTTTCTGACTTTTGTGACCCCAGTAGAACAACATTAGAAATCAGTAACAGAAAAAAATTTGGGAAACTCACAGATATATGGAAATCAACATACTCATAAGCTACAAATGGGTAAAAAAGGAAATTACAAGAAAAATTATCAAATGGAAACATCGTATAAAACTTGTGGGCAACATATAAAACTTATGGGCTGTGGTGAAAGCAATGCTTTGAGGAAAATTTAGAGCTATAAACATCTGCATCAAAAAAGAAAAAAATTTAAAAACCAACAACCTAACATTCTACCTTAAGAAACTATAAAAAGAAGAGCAAGCTGAACCCAAAGCTAACAGAAGGAAGGAAATGATAAAGATGGAGTAAGAAAAAAATGAAACAGAATAGAAAAATAGATAAGTTCAATGAAGCCAGAAGCTAGCTTTTTGGAAAGATCAACAAAACTGATAAATCTATAGTTAGACTGATCATAAAATAAAGAAGACTCAAATTACTCAAGTTAGAATGGAAAGATGGCACATCACTACCCATTTAATGGAACGAAAAGGATTATAAGATAATATTATGAACACCTGTATGTCATCCAATTTGATTACCTAGGTGAAATGGAAAAATTCCTAGACACACACAAGCTGCCAGCTAACTCAAGAATCTTCATCTGAATAGACCCATAAATACAGAGTTTGAGATGGTAATCAAAAAGCTTCCAACAAAGAGAATTCCAGTAAAAGATAGCTTCACTGGTGAATTCTTCCAATCATTTAAAAAAGAGCTGCTACCGAGGAGTTGAACAGACAGTTCTCCAACGAAGAAATTCAGATGGCCAACAGACACATGAAAAGATGCTCCACATCACTAGTCATCAGAGAAATGTAAATTAAAACCACAATTAGATATCACCTCACACCAGTAAGGATTGCCACCCTCCAAAAGACAAACAACAACAAATGCTGGTGAGGATGTGGAGAAAGGGGAACCCTCCTACACTGCTGGTGGGAATGTAAATTAGTTCAAACATTGTGGAAAGCAGTATGGAGGTTCCTCAAAAAGCTCAAAATAGAAATACCATTTGACCCAGGAATTCCACTTTTAGGAATTTACCCTAAGAATACAGCAGCCCAGTTTGAAAAAGACAGATGCACCCCTATGTTTATCGCAGCACTATTTACAATAGCCAAGAAATGGAAGCAACCTAAGTGTCCATCAGTAGATGAATGGATAAGGAAGA